ATTGTTTATTTATATATATTTATTTATTTGTTTATATATATATATATAACATACATATATTATTTATATGTATATATATGTATCCTTTGTAAAAATTTAGGTAGAAGTCACAGTCTTTCATGTTAATTTGATAATCTCCCATGTACCATTACTGTGCAAAAGTGTAGTTATTTTTCACGAAATATTTTGATAAATAAAAAATCCATATACAGTTGTACATGCATATATATATATATATATATATATATATATATATATATATATATATATATATATATATATATATTATATACATATATAATATATATATAATATATATATATATATATATATATATATATATATATATATATATATATAAATGTATGTATTATGTATGACTGAATATATATGTATTCAAGTTTTCTTCAAAACTATCACAATATAGCCTATATTTCACATTTCTATTATAGAGTTGTAGTATTCCAGCTCGGCAGTTTTCAGTCACTTGGCGTAATACATTCGAAAAACAAAAATTATTTGTGATGAGGATCAATAGGCAATTACTAATGGTAATGAAAATATTAGCCTCTTGTATAGTTTAAGTAAAGTGAGTTTTTAACTGACAAGTACTTAATATTGAGAATTCAAAATCAGTTGATTACATTAAAGTGAAGAGAAATTAAAATAGTTTGGGAGAACAGAGTGCTATCCTAAAGGGACCTTTCCGCGGATTACAGGCTTGAAATATTCTTGACGTAACATCGAGAAGTTAAACATTTGAACATTCTGACTTCTATATATATCGAGATTTTTATGTTTATATGTTTACACATACATACATTTATATGTGCATAGCGGTATCATCCACACAAATGAAGCAGAATTCACAATATGCTTTTATGTGCAAATGTAAATGTTAAGCTAAAGAATTAACATTGGCAAACAGAAACAGTAAACATGTGTCTTTTTTACCATGCAAGCACAAATAGTGAGCGTCAGCCTCATAGAGGTATGCAGGGATGACTATCATGTTGTAGTCCTTCTTCAGTGATGTCCATGCTCTGGAATAAGGAATACATCATTTATTAACATACACTTTGTAAAATATTTAGCCTAAAAGGGTTGTGTTACTCCCGTATCTGTGCTTATCTATTTGCAATTCATTATTCAACTTCTGTCATTTGCAGACGGACTCCCGTTGAAGGAAAACACTCGCCAACAAAAACCACCAGCGAGAGAAAATGGAGGCAAGTTTTTCTGGCTTGTTTTACCTCGGATTGTTATCGTTACATTTAGATATATAGTTATAAAAAATTGTTACTATGCGGGCAATTGGAACAACATATGCACAATAAATAACGTCTGAAATGTTTCCATCACAAGCTCATAATATATGTCCACTTGTTGATCTACTTCCAGGGTAATAATCTGAATGAAGCAGGTTATGGACGTGACCAGCTGCAGGCTACATGGTACAAGGCAGTCATCGGTAGTGATGATCAGGAAGCAGAAACGAGATACGTAGAACCTAACAAGATAATGCTTCATCAAAACTCCTATCCTCAATACCCACCGCAGAACATTGTACAAGAACCTGTACAAAATTATCAGGATTATCTTCTTATTCAAAGTACCATTGCCTGTCATGGAGTAGGAACAGAGCTGGTTGAGAATCCTACTGATATCCCAAATAATCAATTTAATCAATATAATGATACAAATTTCTACAATGAACATATGCAACGAGGAATTAAGCAAAGTCCTGACGTCTCAGATTCACAAATTGTTAACAAGGACGGGAATTCAGTGTCATTCATGCAGAGCCATCCGAATTCTTATAGCAGTTATGATCAAGTATCTAATCAGCAACTTGTACCACAACCCGAAGTACAGCCAATGTATGCTTCTACGGTGTCTGAAGGCTCTGATATTGATTATCTAATTGTTATACCAACTGGAGTAGGAACAGAGCTGGTTGAGAATCCTACTGATATCCCAAATAATCAATTTAATCAATATAATGATACAAATTTCTACAATGAACATATGCAACGAGGAATTAAGCAAAGTCCTGACGTCTCAGATTCACAAATTGTTAACAAGGACGGGAATTCAGTGTCATTCATGCAGAGCCATCCGAATTCTTATAGCAGTTATGATCAAGTATCTAATCAGCAACTTGTACCACAACCCGAAGTACAGCCAATGTATGCTTCTACGATGTCTGAAGACTCTGATATTGATTATCTATTTGTTATACCAACTGCTGCTCGGGAGGCTAATGATTCTGAAGTATGCCGCGAATCAGACCAACACTGTATAAATAGTGATGCAATCAATGCACATAATCTGAATCTACCACAACCAGAAGGACGGCATATCTCTAAAACTAAGTATTCACTACATGGTGGACACTTAATTTCTAGCAGTGAAACATTGGACAAGTTACTCAGTTCTACTTTCCCAGAAGAAAGTGATACCTTTTTGGAAAATGAGCTATGGGTTAAGCTAAAACAACCTAACGAAGGTCTTAAACAATTCCTACATAAGAATTGGCCTGAAATCTTAAGTCGCTTGCCCAATCCCCGCCCAAAGAAAAAAGGTAAATATGACTGGCAAGAAAAGGAACCTGAGAATTTGAAGAGATGGCTGAATGTTATCAAGGCAAAGTATTCCCGTGTTATGAAAACGCCAGTCGAAATCCCGACCACTGTAAAGGAAGGCAGAGTATGGCAGGAAATATTTACAGCCCAATGTGAACAAACCCAATAACCAACATCTGCCAGACCAAGCCTCAAGTGCTTTGCAATTTGATGGACCCAGAAAAAACAAAACAGTAGAATGCGAATTTGAAAGCATAAGATTGGTCCAACTGGAAGCTCAAGACCAACATTATGCTCTGTTGACAGAATAGATTAAAGAAAAGGCTAATAACTAACTAATGATATGAGCTTCAGTCACCACATTGAGCTGGCAGTCAATAAAGGAATTATGAGTGGATGGATGATGAGACCTTTTTAGACGAGATTCAGAACACATACTGCCACAATAGAAAACACTAGTAATTCCAAGATTTCAATATCAGTGTCAAGTATGGAATTCATGGTTTATAACGCATACTATTGCTAGAACAAATTCACTCGGAAATTAAATGTTGGGAACGACATAAACAACGGAAAGATACTTCATGTCATGTGTATATATCATTGAAAACTTCATCAAAACCGAGAGAAGTAGAATAATTTAGTTTAATTCCATTTGTTACAATGGTTATTCTTGGAGTGACCGGCTGTGTTTCCCTGTAAGAGATGACCGGGGTAACCATCCACTGGTAGCGAAGAATCTGATAACGGTTCAGCAAAATCTTTAGACAAGAATGCTACCACTGCACCACAATGAATCATTGTAACACCATATAAAAAAAAGAATGTAACATTGAGGGATAACTGCTCAAGATTCCCTATTAAGAAAAATCTGTGATCAAAGTTTTTGTAATTCATGGGCTAAGTCTACTGAATTCGGTACCAGATGGAACGTTATAACTGGTAGTGAGATTTCAATTCATTAAGTCCAGTTCTTCGTAATTGAAAGATGAGTGGTCTTCCAGAATGGTATATTTAGTTTTTTATTATTAATTTTCTCATTATTGTAAGCCTTCCCTTAAATGTTTATGATACCACCTAATACCAAATGGTGGCAATACTTTTAGGTACTGATAATATACTTATATTTGTATGCACATTTTCCATTTGATTTTGCACTGTGTCTAAATAATAAAGAAAATATAACCTTTAATGAAGCCTTACTTATTCTGCCCACATCTGTACTAATTATTCACAGACAAAAACAAAGGTGTATGTTGATTTGCATCAGGAACAACGAAGGGAAGGGCAAGAAAACACACGAATATGCATATTCGTGTGTTTTCTTGCCCTTCCCTTCGTTGTTCCTGTTGCAATCTGTTCACCATGAATTCCACACAAATTGATTTGCATTCAACTATATGGTTAGGTTAGATTGATCGTGAACAGCCTAGTCTGTAGGTGGACAGGGTAGTGTGTGAGAGATAGTGCGAAAATGTATGGGAAAGAGAGTACATGTGTATGAGAAAGTTTTTTATTATTATTACAAGAGGCATCTTTATATACACTGTGTGGAATATAAAGTGAGTTGTTTCACGATTACCCGATATAATGTGTGAATAACACACGCTCGTTCATTCATTCTCTCGATCTCCAACACAGAGGCGGGTCTTCCATGGTGGCACAGGGGGGCACCTACCCCCCTGCAATCTGATTGGCCACCCCGTGTGACCCCCACCTAAGAGTCATTGACCCTTTATATATTAATATATATTTATATATAGATATATAATATTAACATAATATATAATACACAGCAAGATGAAAATATAAACAATGTGTAACTGTGCAATATAAATATTGAAGTGGGCAGTCTTAATTTTTGTTCCCCCCCCCCCCAGACTTATTATTATTACCCCCTGTGCCCCCCACCAGAAAATTCTCTGAACCCGCCCCTGCCAACACATGCAGCGTACAACTTTCTTCCCCAAAGCCTGAAGACAGTGTTTTGTATCATCATTTCTCATGATTTTATTCATGAAACATGATATAAACCAGGAGCACTTTTTTATGACAGACACAAAGGACAAAACAGACCATTAGATGACATCTTACAGTTACAATTATATTCGGCTGACTACTGCGGTATGTAGGACACCCTCCCTTTGGCTGACTCAAAAATTTGCTAAACTTGACCGTTCGCATTCCAAAATAAATTCAAAAACTCTATCAGTAGAAATGGTGGTGTAAACGATGCCCTAGGGTCAAACGACTAGGCTGGCTGAACAGCTGTTCATAGCTGTATGGCCAGATGCATGAGTGACCACCCTTGCATCTGATAGAAAATTTATGACTTAGAGGGAAAGAGAGCTAAGAGAGAGAAGCCTGGCTCATGAGTGAGGCTGAGAGGGAGTGAGATCAAGAGGGTGAGAGAGA